CAGCACATTCCCCCCCCCCCAAATCCCCTATGAAACTTGTTGATGCTCAGATTTCTCATAAAACAGTGCAATAAATGCATATTATTTTTATTTCAAACACCCCCACCCAGTGGAAACAAGATATTTTCCAATATAATTTAACTGAACAGAACCACATGCCCCCTTTCTGCCCTACATATTAAAAAAAAATAAGCCGGAGGCAGTAAAAGAATAGCTGCTTCCAGTTTGGGGAAAAATGCAGATGTTAGCAAAAAGCAAAAATCAAGGGTTTGCCAAGGGCAGTGACTTTGTTAACAGCAAAATAAAGTTATAGCTATTAATAACTAACTTTCACATTTTAATTACTATGAGATGAATTTATTTCTGAAGTACCCATCACTATGGTACTTTAGTATCATTTATCTTAAACTTTTCTCACCCAGAACAAACTAACCGACACTCGTTGTTTCCTTAAGAGAGAGTTACAGTTTGACCTGTGCTCAGAGATCTATTTTTTTTAGCTTATAGCTTATACCAGCACTATTAGATTCCCAACCATCAGGGCTTTCACACAAAAGGCGTTTTAAAAACTGCTGTAAATCTTTGCAAACTTTTTAAAGGATAAGCTAAATAACATTTTTAAAAGCAAATACGGTGTTGTTCGCCAAAGCAACTAATTGAGAAATTTAAAGAATTCTGCACAGTTGTTAGAAAATTACAGAATTGTTGTTCTACGCATTCGCTACCAAGCAGCTCATGAAAAACTGCAGTTATTTTTTCTCTGTATTTTACAGTGGAAGAAACACAGCAATTATTACATACCTTGTCTGTATGTAGCATCAGGCTGGCTGCTGGCTTACCCACAGACATATCCCACAGAATCACAGCACTGTCAGCAGACGCACTTGCTAAAACATTCCTGATAATGGATCAAAAAGTAAGTTTTAAAAATCTTTATACAGATACAAACAAATAATGGTCAAAAATCCAAAATACATAGAGAGCCTGATTCTGAGATCAAGTACACTTTGGCCTATAGACCATAATCTCAAGCCTGAGGGACAACTCGTGAAGATGGTTCTAAGTTGCAAGTAAAGCCTACAAACAGGCTATATTACATTATATTAGTACAACACTTAAAATAATAATTGACAGTCTTGCTTCCATTTCCCCCCACACACCACTTAAAATATCATTTACTGGAAGATTTCTAGAACAAAACAAAGCAAGAAAAGCTTTTAAGCACTTCCTTTCCTTTGACATTAAGACAGTATTTTTAAACATTACCTTTGCAACTTAGTTTTATTTGCATATGCATACAGCCAAGAGCCAGACAAACCCGTTTTTAAAATATCTTGCTCTCCAATATCTGAGTGTTTATATAACTACTGAAGACACAACGCTGTACATCCTTCACAGAATGCTGAAAGGAACCGCTAACATTATAGTCAGTTTACAGACCCCACATTTCAACTTAAATTTGACCAATTGTGTTAAAGCAATAAACACAGTTTAGAAGTTTAATCAGAAAAAACTCAAAACATTCCCAAAGGCCTGTCAAGTACACAGTACAATTGCTACCATTGCTCTTAAAAACAGATCTATTACCTCAACATGCTGTTTCTGATTGAAACTGCTCCCCCCACGCCTTTTTTTTTTTTTTTAATACTAACCAAGTGTTTCTGACTGAAAGAGCTAACATTCTCCCGGAAACACTGTTCTCCCAAACATTGTTACATGGGGAAGTTAAGAAAATGCATAGTGAAGGCTAGGAGAACATTTTACAGTAACATCATTATGACCTCCAGGCAGAAAGTTATTTATAGAGAGCTGTCACAGTATGTCTTGCTTAAAAAACAACAACAAAACATTTAAACAAAGCTGCTCCAAGGAGTTCCTTGTTTTGCCCTTCAGCTTCCCACTTCAAGGCTGTTTTTATTTCCTGGAAGATCGACCAGTATCAGAGTTCGTAACTCAGCACATTACAGAATTATGCATTCCAGACACTTAACTCTTGTAGCCGTAATTTTTGTGACTTGTCTCTGTATTATCACCAGACAACTGTTTCTAGGTACACGAAAGCTACTCTTTTGTAACACTGATGGAATGATCACTACCACACTCCGTGCATATGTATAATTTAAGAACAATAGACAACGCACTATAAATTAAGAGTGCAATTTATGTACATTTACTGCATGTCTATGTGGGTGTTTCCTTCTTCAGGATCTAGATAACAAAGCATTGTAAGTGAAGGCTTAGACCTGCTCATCAGGAGTATGCGGAGTTGACTATGTGTATCTTCAGAGACATTTATGACAGCAGGGAAAAAAAAAAGAAAAAAAATCAGCCTGTGTCTGACTGGAACAGTTTCAAGGCCCATGCTGAGGATCCTCTGACAGCTGAACTGTTAAAAACCACCTAAGCGATAAAAAACGGCAGCATCTTTATTTCAGTCAGCACATTGTCCTTGACCTCTCCCCCGAGATGGGCCAGCTTCGTGTTGCTTCAATAGCAGCACTTCATTGCTAGTTCATTCAGGCAACAGGGAATTCTCTCTGCCTAGGATAACCCAAAGGTCAGAGTCATTTCTATAACTGTGCTACTAGGGCTTTTACACTCTCTCTTCTGTTCACAGCTCTGGGGCAATAGCCAGAGGAAAAAAAACCAGCATAGCAAGGACTTCCTTCTATAAATGTACTTCTATCTGTTCAAATGGCGGTTTAGGTCATTGGCAGATTGGCACAGACCAGGGCAGCCCTTCTGCTTCTCCAATTTGTGCGTATGACTTACATGTAGCCGACATAACAAATGGCTTAGACCCACCTGAGCCCTGCCCTCATCTGGACAACTTGCAAGTAAAAAGTGACCTGCAGCAATATATAGGTTTAAAAAAAAAAAAAAAAAATCAAGACTTTAGTTAAAAAAAAAAGGGGGGGGATGTATTTTTGAGAATTGATTCATTTCAGCACAGCTTTCAAGTTCAATGTTATACTACATAAGATTTTGGATTTGCGTGAAAAATGTATGCCTAATAAAGTATACAAATTTGCAACCATCCATTGTTATTCAAGTATTCTTTTACCTGCTTTGTTTATTCCATGAAAGATCAAGCACAGCATCAGTATGTCCTTTCACTGTCCCTTCTGAAGATAAACTCTGTGTATGCAGATACAACACACTTTTGAAAATCACAGCTTCAATGGAAATCAAGCATTGCAACATATTAGTGTGAACTCCTTAATCCCTTCACAAACAACTTCATGTTTTAAATTATTCTCACTTGCTGCAACAAGGCTTTTGATAGAACTGTCTCTGCAGTACCTGCGCCTCGCCTCCTACCCCAGATCTCAGATTGCTCCATTCACAGCTGGTGGGCTTACAGAACTGGTTACTCCCTTCAGGCTAGTAGAAGAAATTTCATTGTCTCCAGCTAATGTGCAGCTTCTTCAGCTTCTTTCTAAACACGCCTGGCAGTTCTCTCTCCCTCCTCCCAATTAACTGAGCTTTAGGCCCTTGTAACTGCCAGCTCCTACAAATTCTAATTTAAAATGGTTAAGCTTCAAAGTTTACTGGGACAGCAATTGGAAACCACCCATAAGCCACCCCATTCCTCTTCTGTTCTTAATTCCAGGCTTTAATTATCCATACAGAGAACAATTAGCATTTCAAACTGAGGTAACATTTATGAATGGTATCTTCAACAGCAATTCTGATAACTCGGTGATTTTCAGAAGCAAGTTTCACAGAACAAATTCCCCTTCCAAGGATATTTTTTCTATTGTTTTTAAAACTAGAAAGTCTGAGAGCTCAAGAAGTAAACCCCCTTCACAATTACACAGAACGGTTCTTTAGCTGACTAACACTGCAGTGCTCCTTTGTTTGGGAAACTAAGTTTAGCTATATACCCAGTGTTCACCCTCCCTATTTACTCCAGGGAGTCTTTTAAGCACTTCCTGAAGCATCTACTATAAGCAAAGTCTAGAAGATTTAAGTTATGTTATCTTCCATACTTGTTTTACATACCAAAGAATTTGGACAAATCATAACAACACATTCAGGCATACAATGAGGGTCAGATTCATCTCACATAACTTAGCATCCAGCCTAAACCTCAGTCTTCCTCTTTGGTAGTTAAGGTTTTCTCTGCAGTCCACCAAAAGAAACTCAGCCATTCTCTGGGGGTGTCTCTATGCATTCACCTTAGACAATCTCGATGACTAGCTTAGAATATGCTTAAGTTTTAGATAGATAAAGCTAACACAGATGAATACTGAGTAAATATACTTTATTAGTGTCAACCTTGTCCTTTATTGCTCAATGCCTTTTCAACTCTTTGAGTCACAGGAAAATACTAATCTTAACCTATCGCAGACGACCACGACATTATCTTCTGTAACCTGTCTAAGCACCATCCTTCAACATGACAGATGGAACTAAACCAGATTATCTATGATTTTTTCAGTGTAGGAAAAAAAGTAATAACGACATTATCCATGCTCTAAGTTTCCTCCATCCAACCAGATAAACCATTTTGCAATACTTACTTTCTTTCCTTTCTTTTTCTTCTTTTTCTCTTTCTGGCCTCCAAGAGAAAAGACTGGTTCTAAGGATTCTACTATATCAAGGTCCCAAATGTCAATAACTGGGGTCATGTTACCCACTGCAACATAATTTCCTACAAGCAGAAACCCAAATGCAACGACATTTACTTAGAGTTACGAAGCAGCATATTTGGCAATGCAGCTGTTGCTTATTTCTTTGAGTAAGTAAAACTTATACTTATGTGCTAGAATCTTCTATTTGAACATCTTTGATGATTATAACTGACAAGGAGCAATCTAAAAATATCAACTGACAGCAGATGTTGCCAGAAAAAAATGTACTTGCTCTCCAATACACTTCCCCTTCAGTACAAGTAACTGTTCAAAGAAGCTATATAAAGTTCCACATGTTTAAGGAAAAAAAACCCCAAAAACACATTCCCTGTGCTATGAGAAAAAAATAAAAATCTGTAAAACACAGGAAAAAGGTTACTAAATACATAAATATATATATAAATTTTGCTGTGTTTTACAGTTAACCAACTGCATTGGCCATAACAATTTTGAACAAAAGCAACCTTTCATTTGCAAATGGAAAATAAAGCAGATTAGAGAAGAGCTTGCTCTGGTCTGCTAATTGACAGTAACTTAATTATTTGTAATAAAACCAGTGTTTTAGTCAAATCACTTGTTATGGCAGCATCACTAAGATGACTGTATCACCAAACCAAAAAAACCCTGATATTCAGTTTTTCCGTCTTAATATCTTGGTTTTATTTCTGTTCATACCACTGGAAGAAATTATTTAGTGACAACATTACATTTATATACTTTTCAAGCAAAAATTATTTAACTGGACATTTACGGTATCCTTTACAATTTACCTACTGCACTATCAGGACTAGGATCAAAGTTCAACCACTCCAGACTTAGAGGGTAAGCAGGCAAGATGATATCATGATGTACGTAAAATGAATTCTCTTCATGATTATAAACTGAAAAAGAATTAAAGATATACAAGACATCAGTGAAGAGGCATAGCAAGCAACCATAAACAGTTCACTTCTGCAAAAGGCAGATGTGGCAAACACTAAACTGTCAAGGAGATCTAGAATTCGCAGTGTGTCCAGAGTTTTAGTGTTGAGGCCAGAGCCTCCAAGTACTAATGTTACCTCACAGAATTACACAAAACAAACAAACATACTCCTGTGTACTTTAGATAAAGAAGTGACAAGTTCAGCAAAGCTTAAATACTTTATTCCTAGCATACTATACTACTTTGTTTGTAAGATCACTTCAAAACAGATGCTCTGTATCCACCACCACCACTTTCTACAGCAGGATGCATTAATGAAGGTTGAGACATTCATTTTACAGAATCAGCAATTTAAAAAAAATAAATAATTCCAGATGCAATCACAGGGGAAATGAAGGTAGAAGACAAACAGTTTTCAAATTAGAGGAAGCTGAAGAAGCCAGATGAAGTGACCTTTAGCAGGTTGTAACTGAGATACAGGAAGAGTTTCGGTAAAGCAGCCATATAATAAACACAGCATTCCCTTTAGCCAGCTATTTTTCTCCTTATAATAAAAGAATTTATTAACTGGATAGCAGGTAAAACCCATTAATTATTTTAATAAAATGGTATCATCACAGACACAAAATCACTGTGCCATTTTTAAGTGCACGTGACAGATGTTCAGATACTAACTAAAGTCTTCAGTTAACTAAGTAGTCTTAGTAATGAACTAAGACAGGGCTACCCAATGTTATAAACTGCAGAAGCCTGTGCTATTGTTCTATAAGTTTACACAGGGAAAACAACACACTTAATAAAATTTGTAAACACCTCCAGACACAGAAAACGCCAGATGCTGGTATCTGAAGAGATGCCTTCAAACACTGTGGTCTTGCTCTTTTCTTAGAACAGAATACTTTGCTTGCAGAAACATGTACCATAGCAGAAGTAGCCAGAAACATTCCCCAAAGAACTGCCATAAGAAAAGATGGTAACTTCAGCACACCCAGTAGTACTCCTTGCTGCAACAGAAAAATCTTTTACGCAGTAAAACTAAACCCTTCTCTAGAACAAGCGATATTCAGACCTTATTAAGGATCATCTCTTCTAAAACTAAGATGAGAAAGGTACTGATTCTTCTACTCCTAGCAGTGGAAAGCACATTTAAAGAAGAAAGGAGAAAGCAAGGAGAAAAAAAACCCAACAACAAACCACTAGAGGAAGCTTGTACGATATGGAAAGTAAGACTGTTTGGAAGAAAGAGCATATGTTCAGAGAATAAAAATGCCATAGTATTTTCTAAGTGTCATTAGGAATGAAACAAGGAAAGGAAATGCTATACAGCCTGATAAAGGCACGCTATCCTCTAAATAACAGTAACTCCACATTAAATACTCTAGTTCTGGAAAGTGGTTAAAGCACCATGATGTAGGAAAGAGGACAAAACACACAGGGCAGATGGGGAGAAAAAAAACTTTGAAAAAACACCTCCCCCCTTCTACACAGCCATATGGAACAGGATAGGCAATATTCCCTAAGTTCACTGTAAGGAACAAATCCTATGTTACTTACCATGGACCTCCAAACTACAGTAGTCTTTATCAGCTCTGCCACAAAGGACAAGATTGTCACTGGGCTTAATCAAAAAGTCCTCCTGTTCATATTGATCCTGAACAGCAAAACGGAGAGGACAACAGATGTTAAGCAAAGCACATAAACGCACAAAACTACACACGTTCAAAAGGCTGAATCAATAATAACTTTTAACTGTAACTGAAAACACTCAAAACCCAATACCCTGCTGCCCACCCGCCTAAAACCATCTTATGGTGGTAAACAGAGAAAGACAGGAACCAGACTCGATCATGGGGAGATTGAATAGTTATTATATAGACTGAACAACTGTTTACGTGGACCTAGGTGGATTTAGAGAGATGTTTAATTACCAAATATGAAGCCTTCTTTTGAGGCTACCATGATGCAGCCCATTGCTGAAAAGAGAATCACCACCAGGAGCCCACATACATAGCTTATTTCCCTTGTGCTCTCTTGCCTTGAGCATTTATGAAGTGTAACAACTTTTTACACAATAAGCATATTGTAATTGCTGTTCACATCCAGGAAGCAATTCCAAGAGCATTAAAGCATTGCCTACTTTCTGGAAAATATTTCCAGAAAAGTACTGCCTACAGCTATACTGGGCATTCAGCTGTACCAGAACAGATGTAACCTCTCATCTAATTTTCGTTGTTACTGAGGAATGGAAGGCATGCAGGGAATTTTTGTTAGTGGAAAACTAAGAACCGTACATAAAAGTCAATAGTCTTACACAAACAGAGTGCCATCCTTCAAATATACAACACATACAAGACTTTTTGGACTTCTTGTTGCAAGCTTTTAATTTCTTTTTTATTCACTTCAAGCACCTTTTCAATATTTGAATTCTATTAAGTACTGCAATTCTTTGAATTAATCAACTTAATGCTGCACAGTACTTAGTTGTCAACAGTACCAGTAGTAAACACCAAAAGACAACAAAAAATGCATGTTGAAGCACTAAAAAGTATTCCTCAGAATTTGAGGAAAGGACTTGAATGTAGGAAGAAAGGCCTGAGAAAAAGGTGTTCACTTTTTCTATGTCTGGAAGAAAGTTAGCTTTTCTGACACAGAATAAAAGCAGCTCATATTCTTGCTGAATCCCTGTGCAAATACCTCTTTGACTGTAAGAACCACTTTTAAAGCATTTCTCTCCTCTACTGGTACACAGGAGCAAGAAAAATCATCAATCAGTCAGTGGAACACAGAGAAAACATACAGCGCCCCAAAGTGCGCATAGCAAGTGAACTCGTTTTAAAGGTAAGACGTATACCTTCCTCCTTGAGCTTTGTTACAGTATGTGAAGTCACCATAACAACTCCTTGTATGAGACCACACGTTTGACAAAGTCCCCTGACACACAAATCAGACATTGTGGTAGAAGCCTACAGCTACTCTTTTCTTTCAATCTTACTAGCTTTGTAAAGAATCAAAAATAGTATAGAAAGGACAGCACCCCGAAAAATCTCAGAATCTTTATGCTTAGAAGAGGTCTCAAAAATTCATCTACTCCATCGCCCTGCCCCAGATGATCATAGTTTCTCCTAGTTGCTCTCTAGATTACATTGTCTCTTCTCACGCAACCTCACCTTGTAACCGATTTCTGTGATCTCTCCATGTAAATTAAGTCGATTAAAAGTTGCAATCTATCCTTCTGAACTAAACTGCAGGATATTCTCTAGAATCTCTCCATATCTTTTCTGAAGAGGTACCAAATATCCTAGCTAAGGCAATACCGATGTTAAGTAGAGCAGAAGGATTACCTCATGCCCTGCATGCTGCATTCCTATTCACCAGAAAAAGACAAACAGGCTGCATAACAGGACAGCGCTGTTGACACAGCTAGCTTGTGTTAGACTGCAGCCAGAGACTTCTTCACCCCCTGCAAAGCTCCTACAAAGCCAGCTCCTGCAAAGACGTTCCCCATCTGATACTTGGTGGAAACTAATACAGGCAGAAACAGTCGATAACACAGTATGCTATGCATATACGCTTAATAAACAGTGACATATTTCTTCATGCCATACTCCTAATTTGACATGTAGCCTGAGTCCACCTCAGTTTGGTTTCTTCCACAAACTGGTGGAAGGTGTAAGAGTCTTGCAATCTGGAAAGTTTTCTAATTTGGGTCGTTAGTGGCCTCAGATACTGAGATTTGTTATTTCTTCAAACATTTTCCGGGTCCTAGTAGATAGGTGACAAACCACCTCCACTTACAGAACTATGTGGATTAAAGAATGAGCCAGTTCACCTTAACATCTGACTTAAACGTAAAAAGCACACGTAGAGGGGACTGCACAAAGCAACTTTAAAAGAAAAGAGTTCCGTCTGATCAAAAATCTGGCACACCTTTGGAAAAGGACGGCAAGCACTTACAGACCCTAAGGCAGTGTGGAAAATTTAACTGATTTTTAAGTTTATACTGTTTAAGATATTTAACATTTTTATAGTACTTACAGTAGTTTTTAGAGTGATGTAAGGATCATGATCATTACTCCCATATACTGCCAGAGCAGCCAAAGAGTCTCCAAGTTTTATATCACCTAGATGGGAATTTCAGAACATTTTTTTATACATGTCAATGACAGCTGAAGTTAGAAACTCCTGTGCCAATACCTGTATTACCTGTATTGCAAAATATCAGGAGTGGGCTAAATGAACTTCCAAGTTCCAAACATAAGAACCTCAGCAAGCTAAACTGCTTAGTGCTTTCAGGGACTTCTGCTGCTCTGCTCCAGCACTACAGCAGGGGGAGTGACAGTCTTTCCAACACTGCTATCGGTTCTAGTGTCAGGCAGGGGGACACTGAATTGTTTCACTCACTAAATGACTTCCGAAACTAGGACAAGCAAATACTTAAAAATGTAAATTTCCAGCATTTGAAACATAGCACTGTGTAGTTTTAGGATACTAATGTCATAAGTACAACAAGAAGCGAAAAGGTTTTTCACTTACACTGCATATCTGACATTGAAATTTTTCTTACCTCTGTATTCCTCTTCATCATAATTTTCCAAGTCATATTCATCCAGTTCATCATCAGACGGGTCTTCATTTTTATGAGATGACTTAGCTCTGCCAGGAAGGGCTACATTCATGTCACATGCCACCTGGCCTTCATCACTACCATCAGCGCCATCCCTGTTTAAAGATACACAACCCTGAGAAACTGTGACAGATATTTAGAATGCTTCCAGGTAATTGCAGTCCAAGGGGAATGCCAACAAGATTTCAGCACACAATCCTGGCTGTTCACGTGGGTTTCAAGTCTTTATGTCAATAGTTCGGAAATCCATTCACTCCTTTGCCATCTTTTCCCAAAATACAAGGCACCATTATTCTCAGGCTTCCAGAGAAAGTTTTTCAAAGAATCATAGAATCATTTAGGTTGGAAAAGATCTTTAAGATCATCAAGTCAAACTGTAAACCTAGCACTGCCACATCCACCACTAAACCATGTCCCTAAGCACCACATCTACACATCTTTTAAATACTTCCAGGGATGGTGACTCCACCACTTCCCTGGGCAGCCTGTTCCAGTGCTTGACAACCCTTTCGGTGAAGAAATTTTTCCTAATATCCAATCTAAACCTCCCCCGGCGCAACTTGTCGTTAAGAGACAATGCAACTTGTCTCTCGTCCTATCGCTTGTTCCTTGGGAGAAGAGACCCACCTCGCTACAACCTCCTTTCAGGTAGTTGTAGAGAGCGATGAGGTCTCCCCTGAGCCTCCTTTTCTCCAGGCTAAACAACCCCAGGTCCCTCAGCTGCTCCTCATAAGACTTGTGCTCTAGACCCTTCACCAGCTTCCTTGCCCTTCTCTGGACACACTCCAGCCCCTCAAGGTCTTTCTTGTAGTGAGGGGCCCAAACCTGAACACAGTATTTCAAGTTTCCTTGAAAGTTTTCATGACAAAACGTGGCACAAATTTTGCTGGACAGAGCTAAGCTGTATGTCTAAACCCCTTTCTCTTACCCTTTTTTTTGTGGATACAATGCTCTCAACCTCACCTCTGTGCATTCACATGTGTCCAAATCATTTCTTCCTTTTTCTTTTCCCACCCACAGGCCCTGTCATGTGTGATGACTCTTGCATTTCTTCAAGATTTTTAAGACCTTATTTCATCATATTTCCCATACTTACATTAGAAGAAAAAACAACATAAAATTCATCAGGTAGGGACATATTGAGGATTACTTCTTACAGGGTAAACTATGCAACATCTAGAAAACTCAGAACTTCCGTGGCAACAATTCCGTATGCAAAGAATTCAGTAGAAAGGAGCATACATTAAACATCGGCTGAGAACCTAACAGACATCTCAGATGTCTCCATGGAGTGTGCTCCATAGGAACTCATCCCTGCTGAATACACTGTATTTCTGTCCTTCTGCACACAAAATTCCCAGGCAACAATGAGCCGAGACAGTTCTCACAGATATGTTCTGAAGTAAATATCAGAAACCTATTTTTATAATCTATTCAGTAAAATAAACCCTTCACATTACCAGCTTCTCCTAGTGTAAAAACTGGTAATGTGAAGTGTTCATTTCATTTTTTTAGTTTTATTTTAGTTTTTCCTAGTTTAAAAACTGGTAGCAAGATAATTAGAGATTCTAAATCTGAGTCTGATTCGTGATCTTTGCACAGGAAAAAAAGTGACTGATTCTGTAACAAATTCTACAAAGTACCAGATGTTATAAAGAGATCATAACCTCTTTGGTTGTTACGGATGGTCTTTAAATTTCCATGCTGAAGTTTAACAGAACGATTAATTACTAACAAACAGTACCTCAAATCTTTCCATGTTTTTGAAATTGCCAGAGAAAGGAATCCACTCAAAAAACCAAAAGTTCACATGCATAAAGGAGAAACAAGTAACACCGCACATAACAGAAACATTAAACAGAATTGGTTAAGAAAGTAACGTAAAGTAAGAATCTTCCAAACGTTTAAGATGATTTTGGAACCACTAAAAAACAAAACCAGAACAAAACACATTCTGGGAGAAAACACTCTGTTCAGCAATAAAGTCACAGATCCATCTAATAGGAATCGGGTGGATAATATTCACCCAACTATAAAAGCTTTTACTGCGACCTGTTGCATCTGTTCAATCACAGTGGGATAACCACTGTGGTTCAGCCACACAGTGGTACAACCACACACCCTACATAGCTGAAACAGAATCAGAAGCCTAAATCTATGAACAGATCTAACTGAAAAAGGCCAGAAAATGGAATAAGACTTCAATACCTCACCTTTTTCTAGACAAGAGAGAGACATTTCATTATTGTCTTCCATAGATTACGTTTCCTAAATCCGTCACTTCTGTTATTCTTTTCAGAAGTGTATCTACCTTTTTCTTAAAAGCAGGGACAAAACTTAACTACGCAACTAAGGGCTTCTAGTGCTGAGTGGAGCGTCACGATGTCTCCCGTTTCATATGTGAGCCATAAATACACCCCTGAGCGATGTTTTGCCTTTTTTTCCAAAGCGTAAATACCAAGTCACTCTGAGCTCCACTGTGGCCTCCGGACTCGCTTAGATTGTGACGTCTCACCCGCAGCATCCACTTTTTCACAGTCAGTTTGGGACTTCCATCTCGGCTTGCCACATCTCCAAAGCACCCATGGTTACAAACCCAACTTCTTATTTCCTCACTCTAGGCGGGAACGGCAACTCCGGCGAGGACCGGGCCCCGAGTGGGTCTCCGCAGACTCCCCTTGAAACGCTCGGCTAGTCTGACGGCACGCGGCTGCCAACTGAAGAACCGCGTGGGAAGACAACCCCTGTGGCCGTACCCACGACGACGGCAGGCTATACTCC